TCTTCACTCATTCCGGCCACTGTTTTCTTTTCTACCAGGGAGGGTCAGCTTACAAAACTGCCCGAAACTAAGAAGACACTTTTGTTTACATTTAATGGTAAGAGAAGTGGTGTACGCGCGCGTGTGTGTGTATCTGGGGGAGCACTGTGCTTTATTGGTGCAAGTCATGCACAAGTTCTGTCATCTATGGAAGACAGTGTATTGATGAATGACTTCAGGGTGTGTAACGGGATCATTGATTGATTAACCAGTAAACAGAAGGCAGTAATGACACTGGGGCATACTGATTGGCATATTGTCATAATAATAGGATACTCAATCTTGCTATTATTGATCTTGGTTCATACTCGTATCTACTGGTGGTTGCAGTTAGATCACCATTGGAAGATGGCTTGTTTTTAAGCCACATGCCTTGTAGTTTGAGCTTGCACAGAGTTACTTGGTTAACTCCAGTTTGAAAAAAACCAGCCTCATGGGAGCCTATTCTAGAAAAGGCCCATAGTTCTCTTTGAAATTCAAGGCCATAGCTCCACAAGAAGCTAATGTCAGAGCCTGAATTCAACCCTTATGTTTGTATTCCGTACTAATAAAACTAAGAAGGATTGTTTGGAGGAAATGTGCCTGTTGCTGTGTAAGGAATCTAAATACCGTCTCCAAAGCTAAATGCCTCAGTTATGTTCTTCCTACAGAGGAGCATAAAAACATCTTTCATGAACGGTGTGAGCAATAAGGAAAGAGCATTATAGTAAGCAGAAAAACGCTGCCAACCTTTCTGAATTAACAACAAACTCTTTTATTTCAGTGCCTGGTTCAGGCAACACTTCCCCAAAGGACATGGAGTCTTTGCTGCCTCTGATGAGCATGGTTATCTACTGTATTGACAAAGCAAAGAAGTTCCATCTGAACAGAGAAGTAAGTAGTAGATATTTTTCTGTCTTCTGAATATTGCGTGAAATTGCAACCATTGCCGTTGGATGCTTAAGATTGGGAGCCATATGTTACTAGTATGACTACCAGAGGTACTGCTTTCTGCTCATGAGGAAATCCATATTAGCAGCATTTGCTTTTCTCTGTGAAAAGGGTAAACAAAAAGCTGACAAGAACAGGGCTCGCGTGGAAGAGAACTTCCTTAAACTGACTCACGTGCAAAGACAGGAGGCTGCCCAGTCCCGCCGAGAAGAGAAAAAACGAGCAGAGAAGGAGCGAATCATGAACGAAGAGGATCCTGAAAAACAGCGTCGGCTGGAGGTGAGATGGATTTTCAGATCGTTACAAGCTCCTGGCATATTTCTCCTATGATGTCTCCAGGGCTGCTTGTAGGTATACCAGCAATGGCCACCTTTGAGTTCTTATTTGCTGGAAGGCAGACAACTTTCAGGGTCTGTGCTGTTGCTTTTTGAAACATGCAGAGGCTCCCAGTGAAGAGGCAGCTCACGGGGCTGGAGATGTGAACCCAAGTACTGCAAGTCTTTTTTGTTTGGCTCTTCTGAAATGATCACCTTGCTCTTTGAAGAGATTACTGATGTTCACTCACATCTCTATGTCCTTGTGTACAGGAAGCTGCTTTGCGGCGTGAGCAGAAGAAACTTGAGAAGAAGCAGATGAAGATGAAGCAAATCAAAGTGAAAGCTATGTGACTCCATTGTGAGAAGTGTCTCAGTGCCACCCGCAGAATTTTAATTCACAGGGTACCAAGACCTACTTAACTCCATAATCCTACACTTCTTTAAACACTAGTAGCCATTCAGAGAAATGTTCCTTGCATTGGGTGTTACTATTTAAGTATTACAGCAACATGCAGGTGTATGTAGAAGAGCTTTGTCTCAGCAGTTTTATTCCAGGTGGTATAAATTTTTGCTGTTTGTCTGTTTAAAAAAAAAAATGCAATATTCTTGAATGCTCTTTGTCATTTGTTCTTTAAAAACAGAAGATTGTAAACCTGTCCACGTGTGCTGGTAACATATTCATGCTTTGGTTTTAAACTTTGGGTTTAGTTATTGGGAGGGAAGGGGGGAAACTTAAGGGGAGGAAAATTGCACAATAAACACTTATTGTGCATTTATTTGCATCATGTAAAGGCACAAAACTTAGAGCCTTCCATACACAGTATGGATTCTTCAGGGATTTAAACCCAGTAGAAGTGATTTTTATTTTCTTTTTTTTTTTTTTTACAAACAAGGGACTGAAATAGTATTAGGTCACCTGTGGGCATGATTGGCGTATGTGTAAAACATACAGATGGGTTAGATACAAGGGAATGGAATACACAGTCTCCTACTTGTGGTTTTGAATGCTGCAAGCTTAATACAATGTGAAGTGTGTAATGCCAGCATGGTCTTTCTTCAGGAGTGAGCGCGTGGTGAGTTAGCAGCTTCAACTAGCTTTCCTTGAATATTTTTAACTGTACGAGTTTGCCTCAAAAACTTTTCTCCTGATCTCAGCAGCTGCTGCCTAGTTCACTTCAGCCAGAAGCTAGATGCAGTGAAGTATCTGCAATTGCCAGTTTCCCCAAGGAAGTAAAAACGTTTCTGAGGACATGTATCCTCTTCATCTGGTACGTGGTCACTTCAGGTTTTTGAATATAAATGGGGAGAATGAAGTGAATGCCCCTGTGCAAGCACTTCGCTAAGGGAGAGAACTCTGCATTTTATAAATGCTTCCTGTCTAGAAGGCATTTTATTGTTGCTTGTAACAGACTTTTAACAGTTTTGTGGGGAAACAATGTCTTGCATTTTCTTGCTCGGTACTTTGTGCAAACTTGGTTCTTGGCAATAAGAATGAGCTGCTGTTGAAACAGCAATTGCTTCAACTTCTTGTTCCAGCATGGGATACTTCACGCGGATTGAAATGCAAATATCTGTAACCTGATACATGCAAATACATTAATTTTATAATGGTTGGTAAAATTATTTAAAACCAAAACTAATGTAGATTCTGTGAAATTTTAGCACTATTTAGCTTTAAAGATTAATACGGTATTGTTTTGCAAAGTTCTTTGAAAGGAAATACTAGTTTGTGCTCTTTGGACAGCTTTCCTGAAGTCCCATACATTTGTGGGCCACGGCAGCTAATTTTGTAATATGAACAATCTAATGAAGAGTAAAATATAATTGAACCACTCCACCTGCCTACTTTACTCGGCTGGCCTCCGGGTGTCTTGCCCTCTGGTAGGATCTCGAAGCCTCGTTTGTCCTGGGTGGGTTTTGCAGGCGCAGTAGCTGGCGTTACTTCAGCTGCGGGATGTGTGTGGGGGGGTGGCTGTCCACCCGGGACCTGCTTCCTGGGCAGGCGGGGGGAGAGGGCCCGTCCCTGGAGGAAGGGGGTGGGAGGAGATGGAGGATTTTCCCCCCTCCCGCGTTCAAGGCCGGGGTCGTACGGGCACCCCAACAGCACCGGGGAGCGGCTGCGCGGGCCGCGGGGGAGAAG